CATAGCCTTGGCAACTCATGACAAGAGCCTAGGGAGATTTCTGATGCCATAAACAAGAGTGTCAATTTGTTAAGTCAACAACAGGAGTCACTGTGCACTTACTCCTCATGTAGGATCTCTGTCCTTAATGTGCTGTACATTGTGATTTAATGCTATAACTAGTACTCAAACAGTATTTTTCACTTTATGTTTCTGTGTGGGTGAAAACTGTTGAAATCTTTACTTAATATATACTAAATCGATCTTCTGTATATAAAGAGAATTGAAAATGAATCTTGATATGAATGGAAGGGGAGAGGGAGCGGGAGATGGGAGGGTTGCAGGTGGGAGGCAAGTTATGGGGCGGGGGAAGCCATTGTAATCCATAAGCTGTACTTTGGAAATTTACATTCATTAAATAAAAAAAAAAGAAAATCATGTGTAGTTTTTCAGAATATGCATTTTCCATGAGCTGTTTGAAGATCCCTCATATATACAAGGCTGAAACCTAACAGGAGAAAAATATTTAAATTTGGATAATGAGCCAGGTGTTTGGCACAGTGCTCACTGCTTCTGGGGATGCCACCTCCCATATTGGAATGTTTGGGTTTGAGTACAGGCTCTACTACCAATTCCATTTTCCTGCTAATGTGCACCCTGTGAAGCAGCAGGTGATGGCTCAAGTACTTAGATCCCTGCCACCCATGTGGGAGACACAAATTAAGTTTCAAGTACCTGGCTTTGGCCTGGCCGCATCCCAGCTGTTGCATGCATTTGGGGAGTGTACCAGCAGATGGAAGATCTCTTTCTGTCAGTCTCTGTTTCTTTGCCTTTCAAATAAATAAAAATAAAAACTTGTTTTTTAAATTGAATGAAACACTAACAAAACGTTTGTCAAGTTGAATGTGTAAGAATATTAACCTTTAATTGCAAATCTAATTGTTGGCTTCCTATACCGTCTAGGCTATCTTTACTTTCACTGCCGAAAATGAAAAGCAAAATAGTTTTCTTTCTTCAGGTGTTTAATAGGATCTATCTTAATATCATATGAGGTTGTCTCTCACTTCCTAGTCTCTCTGCATCTCATATTTACCAAAATCTTTAGATGTTTATATGACTCATATATGAAGTTTGCCAGATTATGTAATAAATTGTTAGTATCCCATCAGCAATGTTAGCCATATACATTTGGATCAAGCATTCTTTCTACATTATTTGAGGTAAATAGCAGATAAAAACAAGGCAGAAACCGTACATAAATTTATGGCAAATGTTCAGCACCTCCTGGATGCCATTCTGTCTTCTTCCATCCTATTTTAGGTTCATATAGGTCCTGATATTTGATTTTATCTCCTATTTATATCTCCCTGATATATTCAAAAGCTAAGCTTTATTTCTCTTATTTAACCCTTGGTAATATCTAGGAAATTTGTCTTATAACCACCATTTCCTTCTTTCTCATGGAGGATGTTTAACATTATTTAGTCTCAGAACCCAGAATCAGTATAAATGGACCCATCCTGAGTCCCCATAAGCTTTGATTTGGTTATTTAGAGACACTAAAGCAGAGCTTTACAAGCACTAAATTCAGAACTGCTCAAGAGAAGACTGGCCTGTAATAGGAAGTGGTATGACAAGATTACTTCTGAGATTATTCCCAGCTACAGGATTCTAGGGGATCTCAGGTAAGTCATTTTGTTTTATTGATCCCAGACCCTTCTCTGTACTAAATGCCAAAAGTATATCAGAATTTTCTTTAACCTTATAAGACCAAACCAAAGGAGCAAGTGCTAAATTCAAAGCAATCGAAGGATTTTATTCCCAGAACTTCAGTTGATTTATTTTAGGGTTTCTTATTTTTACATAAGGACAGCAGTAGCCTTGATATTATTTGTAAAGATTTTTCTTTAAAATTCTCTTTTACTTCTTTTAAATGAGGAAACTTTGCTGGTGGAATTTTTTTTTTTTTTTTGGTAAAAGAAACAAAACAAAGTTTCAAAGCCATGTTCCTTTTGGTGAGATGAGGATCCACACTGAAAGAGGCTGTTTAAACATAAAAGCAATGGACAATGTTGTGGCATAGAGGGTTAAACTGCCACCTGTGACACCAGCATCTCATATGAGTGCTAGTTGGAGACCTAGCTGCTCCACTTTGTATCCAGCTACCTGTTAAAGTGCCTGGAAAGACAGCAGATAATGACCCAATTACTTGGGCGCCTGCACTCATGTGAGAGACCTGGATGATGCTCCTGGTTCCTGGCTTCAGTTGGGGAGTGTGAGTCAACAAGTGGAAGAGCTGTCTCTTTTTCTCTCTCTCATCTCTATGTCTGTTAACTGTCTTTTATGTAAAATAAATAAATTATCTTTAAAAAGATCAAAATACCCTTGACTGTAATGCTACTTAAAAATTTGCTATCTCAAAAGGTGAGAAAGAAAGAAAAGAAGGAAGAAAGGAAGGAAAGAAAGAAGGAAGGAAGGAGAGAAGAAAGGAAGGCAAAACAAAGGAGGCGGAAGGGAGGAAGGGAGAAAGGAAATCTCATTGTGTTCTTAGATTTGTATCTATGAACTACACTAAATCTGTTCTATTTGTATTAATATTACATAACATGAAAAAATAAATATTAACAAAATAAATAAATATTAACAAAAATAAAAATTAACATGAAAAAATAAAGTATAAGAAAAAACCAAAACAACTATTTAAAATAATCTATATTCTTCTTTTGTAGTAACAAGTAAATGACCTATTTCTGGGCTTTCAAGAAAACAATTTTATCATCTCCACAAATATTTTAATGGATTTTAGCAGCTCGAGGTACTGTTGTATTTGTACTTGCTATTTGGATTTGCCTCTGCAGCCTAACAGAAGTCAGAGTTAAGCAGGAAACTGTCCAACCCTCCTGTGTAGTAGCACAGTTAACAAGAAAGTGAGTTGTCTAGACAAGCCAGTCATTGTTTTGCCTTCATGAGTGTCAATTCGCTGTTTGTTTATATATTGGAAGAACCTCCTTCACACTTACAAAGACCTAGAGCATGGGCATCTCCTCATACAGATTAACCCATAAAGAGTTGGGGTTTATTTCATTGTGATAGTTGCTACCATATCTTAGAGGACTTCCAGATACTGATAAAGATACGAGAGCCAATGAAACTTGAATTGCATAGGCTTCTATAGTGTTTTATTTGATACTCAATTTCCTAATAACTTGTATAATTCAAATATTATTGTAGACTCACAGTGTGGTGTCTAACTATGCTGCCGGTATTTTTGAAATTTTACAACAGAGGTGTTAACCACTACTGCATAGAATTTCCATGCTTCTAACACAGAATTGTATTCAGGCCAGTAGGAACCCATGAAGATGTCTGAATCAAATGTTTATGTCAATAAATTTATTCTCTCTTTTAATATTGTATAGTTTATCAATAAATTGTGTTGCAGCATGAGCTTGTACATATGACTATGTACATATGACTAGGCGGTAGACACAGGCATATCTTCAAGAAAAATGTTTATAAACCTTGATAAACTGAGACTACTAATGCTAACTAAATAGAACTTATTCAGAATGAATACTAGCTGTCATGTATTACATAGTCGAAAGGCTTGTTTTCCTACAGCACACTGTCAAATGCAATGGAGATGACAGAACAGAACTATCCAAAAATACATAACAAACAACAATGCCCACAAAGATCTTAAGTCTAACGAATGCACTGTGATATTGATTAGTTGATTCAGGTAGATTTACATAATGAATAGGACTGGGATGATCAGCATCGAAGCCTCTGAGGCATCATCTAATTCAATCCTCTTGTTGGAAATACTGATGCCTGGAGAGAAGAAACACGCCCAAGGTATATTAGAATATTAGAGTCATAGTAGGTCATAGAGGCTAAATATCCTAATTTATTCTTCACTACACTTCTCATACATAAGGCTGCCCCATGCCATCATCTCCCATTCCAAATCACAGATAAAAAAAAAGTAGGCTCCTCCAACAAAGACTATATTTAGTGTCTTCTACTCATAATAACACCTGTCTGTGGCCATCCACCATCTATAAAGAAAGACTGGCCAACCCATGGGCATTTCCAAAATTGTGGCCTCAGCATTTTAACTACAATGTGTCAATATACGATGAATTTCATCTCCTGAGCAGATGCTAAACACATCTAAAAGACTGACACAGGTACATTATCTTGCATCTCTTACTGGATTACCACCATAGTCTTTTTTTCATTTCACTTGCATTTTATTGTCACAGACATCTTTCCCTATAGCCAGGTTAGAGGCAGTCACCCGTCATTTTTTTTTAAAGATTTATTTATTTGGAAAGCAGAGATACAGAGAGAGGAGAGACAGAGAGCAAGATCTTCTATCCACTAGTTCACTCCCCAGACGGCCACAATATCCGGGGCCAAGCTAGGCCAAGCCAAAACAGGAGCCTGGAACTCTCTCTGAGTCTTCCATGAGAGTGGCAGGGGCCCAAGTGTTTGGGCCATGCAGCAGGGAACTGGATCAGAAGTGGAGCAGCTGATACTGGAACCAGCGCCTATATGGGACAACAGTGTCACAGTCAGTGGCTTCACCTGTTGTGCCACGATACTGGCCCCTGGAAATCCATTTATGACAAGGTCTTAATTTGTCCTCTCTTTAAAAAATTTGCAACCTAACAGATCATGAAGACTGAAATAATGCATAATTAGTTATGGAAACATCCAGGATGGAAGTTCAAGAAGGCAGCTTTTGGACACAAATTCAGTCCCAGGTATCCTCACATGGGGCCACACAATTTTACATAAAGAACCATCTTCACCAAGGTCAGCAGAGACACTCACCTCTAAGGGTGGAGTTGCAGCTGGAGAAAGCCAGCCTTTTCCAGACCTCCACTGGAGGCGGCGATTGCAGGTGCTGCCCATGCGTGACGTTCCCGGGCGGGGCTCCTCCGCAACAGGGCACAGGAGCCGCAGGCACACACGTCACAGAAGTCAGCTCGGGGCTTCAATGCCCCGGCAAGGGCGGGTCCGCCCGCCAGGCGGTAACTGGGTAACGAGGTCACAAGCCAGTGGCCTGGCCAGGTGTGTCCTGAATGCCAGTGGCCGCCCAGCGTCCTGGTGGCCGGGGCGATGAGCGCTCCGGCCCGAGCCTTCTCACACTCTCCTGCTTACAAAGCAGTCCGCGGGTAAGCTGCAAACTCTGTCCAAGAGCGGACACCCCGGGTGCCTGGTGAGGGGTGGGGGGCTCCACCCAGGCGCAGGCGGAGGGGCCCATGGGCTGCCCCCAGAGCTTGTGCCAAGTCTTTTTTCATGGTTTCAATTTTGCGTTTAGAGCCCTAATCATTTGGAGTCTGTTCTTGTGTATGATATGAGGTATGGCTCCAGTTTTTCTTCTTTTTTAAAAATTTTTATTTTATTTGTTTATTTAGGATCCAGTTTTGTCTTTTTCCAAATGGTTCACGAGTTGTCCTGCACCACTGTAAAGAAAGTCTATTAGATATTTCTGGATTTTCTATTCTAATCCATAGATCTAACTACCAGGCTGCTTTAATTATGGAAAATCTCTACTGTTTTTATTTTGAGAGGCAGGCAGAAGAGAAAGAGAGAGCTACCATCTGCTGGTTCACTCTCTAAATGGGTTGGAGCTGGTAGCTGGAACTCAATATTAGCTTCCTGTGTGGGTGGCAGGCACCCCCTTGAGCCATCACGGCTGCTTCCCAGAGTCTGCATAGCAGGAATCTGAAGTCAGGAGCTGGAGCTTGTATCAGACTCAGTCACTGTGATGTGGGATGTGGGCCCCTTAACGACTAGGCCAAATGTTCACCTTAGTCAGTCTTTTAACGTCTTGGAGGGCTAAGTGTTCCTTTTGCAATTTTTCTTTTTGTAAAAAAAAATGTTTTCCTGGATATTCTTGCATGCAATCTTTTTTTTTTTTTTTTTTGACAGGCAGAGTGGACAGTGAGAGAGAGAGACAGAGAGAAAGGTCTTCCTTTGCCGTTGGTTCACCCTCCAATGGCCGCCGCTGCAGCCGGCGCACCGCGCTGATCCGATGGCAGGAGCCAGGATCCAGGTGCTTTTCCTGGTCTCCCATGGGGTGCAGGGCCCAAGCACCTGGGCCATCCTCCACTGCACTCCCTGGCCATAGCAGAGAGCTGGCCTGGAAGAGGGGCAACCGGGACAGAATCCGGCGCCCCGACCGGGACTAGAACCCGGTGTGCCGGCGCCGCAAGGTGGAGGATTAGCCTATTGAGCCGCGGCGCCGGCCTGCATGCAATCTTTTTAAAGTATATATTTAAATATAATTTTCCCGGCTGGCACCGCGGCTCACTGGGCTAATCCTCCGGCCTGCGGCCCTGGCACTCCAGGTTCTAGTCTCAGTTGTGGCACCGTATTCTGTCCAGGTTGCTCCTCTTCCAGTCCAGCTCTCTGCTGTGGCCCAGGAAGGCAGTGGAGGATGGCCCAAGTGCTTGGGCCCTGCACCTGCATGGGAGACCAGGAGAAGCACCTGGCTCCTGGCTTCGGATCGGTGCAGTGCACTGGCCATAGCGGCCATTTGGGGGGTGAACCAACAAAAGGAAGACCTTTCTCTCTGTCTCTCTGTCTCTCTCACTGTCTAACTCTTCCTGTCAAAAAAATAAAAATAAATAAATAAATATAATTTTCCCACAAAATTTGATACTTCCAGTATCAAAATGTAAATGCCAGCAGCAAGACTTCCAGGGATGTTAAACATCTGGAAACAGAGAAGCTCAGCTGGTCATCTTCGTGCTTCTGGCTTTACCTTGATTAACTTTTGGTTATACAAACTGAAAAATGACCTAACGTATTTGCTTTGAGAGGTGCTATTTTTTAATTGTAGAGTTCCCTGTAGCCATTTATTGCACCACTGATTATTCTGGAAGCTTCGAGGTTCCACTCATCATTAAGGCTGTTGCTGGTCAGGACCTTGAAATCGGAGAAGGCCGCTGACAATTCTCCTGTGCTTAGTTGGTGCAGGGCAAGTTAAGCATTGTCGTGTTCCCCCTCCCCGGTTGCCTGCTCCCATCCCAGTTGCATTCATTCCTCGTTTGGAGGTTTTTTGTGGGATTGCAGCAAGTGCTCCACACTAGCCTCTGAAACTCTCCAAAAGCCACATTTTTAACAAGAGTCACAATGTTTTGTTGAAGCTGTGCAATGGAATCTCTTTGGGAGACACTCAGGTTAAACACAGTCCAGCCAAATCTTCCTCCATACCCTCTTGAGCATCACTGGTTTCAGCTCCTCCCAAGCTACTGCAGTGTTGTCCATAGCATTCACGATGCTGATGTTTGTCCAAAATTCCCCGACCATATCCACATTCTTACCATCTGTTGCCTTCATAATGTGCTCAAAAGTCCTTCCAGGTACTGAGCTTCGAAGGCAGAGGCTACACCTTGAGCCATGGGCTGGACTGAGTCAGCTGCACTGTACTGAATATAGTCTACTCTCACATTATCAGAAAGAGCACTCGAATCCACGGGATGGCACAGTGTACTCTCTAGGATGTGTACTGATTTCTTAGTGAGATTATTTTGCACACAGTATTTTTCAATGGCAGGGCAAAAAAAAAAAGTATGTGAGCTACTCATGAAAGATGTCTCTGGTTGCCCAGGCCTTTATATTTAGCACCAAATCACAGGCAAGTTGTAGAGCCTTAGGGGTTTCCGAGTGATTCACCAGTGGGTACTTAAAGTCCCTAGCTGTGTTGCCACCAAGAAATGACCTCAAGTGATCTTTGGATGACTTAAGTCCTGGCTCGCTTTCTCTTTTGCAGAAATGAATGTTCCTTCAAGCACTCTCTTCCAATAAAGCCCTGTGTTGTTGACATTAATTTGTCGGAGGGGGTGGTGTACTCACCTGCCTTGATGATGTTCTGCAGCACCTCTTTATTGTTGCCAATAGCATGGCTGTTCATCTTGAAGTGAGGCCAACAGTGGCACTCCTTGAATCTCACAAACGACCCTTTACTTGCACTAAACTTCCATTTGAGTGTGTTCATGCTCTAAGTCATGAAACAGACTCCCAGCCTTCTCCCGACTGATGGTGACACTCAAGGGCATGTGTTGCTGGCTCTGATCTTCAAGCCAGATGAGCAGCATTGCTCCATAGTCTGCATCCTGGCCTCTCCAGGGAGCAGCCATCTGTGAACGCGTCTTGGTTTTTCCCTTATGATCTCTAGTGGTCGCTACTGTAGGGACAGTGAGGTCTATGGCCTTTATGAAGTCTCTGAGCCTTTCACCCACTTCGAATAGCCTTAGCACTTCTAATTTGACATCAAAAGTACCTGTTTTCCATCCCCTTTTGTTTCCACCCGGTTGCCTATTTCATTCTCCACTAGGATGTGGGAGGTGTGGACTATTCCTAGGGTGCAGCTGCAGGTCCGTCTGGACCGGCGTGCGTTCCTGCAGGTCAAGAACAAACAGCCAGCATTGAGCATCCACGAAGGGAACAACGCGGTACTTCGCGTCCCAAGTCAGCTGCCATGTTCATGAGGCTTAAGTAGGCTGCTGAACTGCAATGGGAAGTGGCGACAGCGGCCGACTGTGGCGGATTGGGAGGGCACACAAAGCATCCACTTCCCATGGAGAACCCCAGAAGTGAATGTCCCTGGAAGAGTCCAAGGTGAAGTGTCCACAGGCACTGGGCGTCCCCTTAGCGCCTAACCTCAGTCGGCCTCTGGGCTTCTGGGAAGGTCGCCATTGCCTTCTGGATGGTCAACCCCTCACCTACTCTTAAGACTCTACAACCCACCCTCTGGCCAACAACCAGTGATCCTTTAATGCATAAATTGGATTATGCCTCATCGTTGTTTAAATCCCCCAATAGATTCCCGTGAATCTCAGATTAAAAATCCCAATTTTTTAACCGTGTCCTCCCAATACATTATCTGTCAGTCCTAAACATCTAATCTCATACCATTCACCTAACCACAGTTCCCATGCTGGGTCTTATACAGCACATGCTGGTTCCTGTTTCAGAGCATGCTCATTTGTTAGTACGTCTAAGTAAAAATCTGTTTTCCCTTTTCCCAGAGCAAGTAGGAAAATACTTGTTATAAGTTGAATTCAGCCCCCTCAGGGAAATACCCAGAGAGTATTTCTTGCAAAGATGGAGGCATGAATTGGAATTATGCTGCCACAAGTGAAAATTACCTAGTGTACCATTTCTTGAAGATCCTCTAGAGGTTTTAGAGAGCAGGGCCTGCCTAGTAGTCACCTCGATTTTAACTTATATAGCCTCTGGAAGTTTGAAAGATGAAACTTTTAATGTTTGTTTAAAAGACTTATTTGTTCGTTTGAAAGAATTACAGAGAGGTGGAGAGAGAGAAAGAAAAAGAGATCTTCCATCCGCTGGTTCATTTCCCCAAATGGCTTACAGGAGCTGGGAAGCAGCCTGGCTAACATTAGGAACAAAGAATCCCATCTAGGTCTCCCACATGGGTAGCAAGAACTCAAATACTTGAACTATCATCTGCTGCTTCGCAGGTACATTAATAGGGAGCTGGATCAGAAGGGAAATAGCTGGGACTCGAACCGCCACTCCAATATGGGATGCAGGCATTCCAAACAGTGGCTTATCCCCCTGCACCACAGCTCCTGCCCCAAATTTTTAATGGTTTTAAGCCACTTAGTTTGTGACACTTTTATACAACACCTGTAAAAAACTAATATAGTATTTAAATAAATATTGTTGAAAAATAATTGCTATAATTTTTTATGGCTCTGAACTTTTTATTAAGAGAGTTGACTGCAAGGAAAGCATAGTGCTTAATCAAACCACATAAAATGTCAGCATTATGCACAGTGCAAAAATGTTGTCTACTGGGTTGCTGGTTCCTTCACCTCACAAATTTTGATCCTTAGTTACTACCAGTTTCGGTGTTCTCAATTTCAAATCCAAGGACCCCTGCAAAGTGTGCTCCTGGGCCTCTTTCTAGAGCACCTGCTCAAGACATGATCCCTGGGCCTGTTGCAAGCAGAGAAGCTGTAGTGGGCCCCAACAAGCTCTTGGGACTGGACTGTGGAAGATTTCCCCAGCCACTTCACCCACATCTGCCATTGGGATATCTGGTAGCAGTGCACCAAGCCTTTCCATTGGCTGGGGTGGGTGCTAAGTGGCAGAGCTGGCTGGCGCTGATATGATCTTCAGTGATTTCTGATGAAGAACACTCTTTAGGAAGGTACAAGCCTGGGACCAGAGTTTAGGACTTTTTAATTTGTATAATATTATATTATATTTAAATTTCTACCTCACAACTATCTTTAAAAATCTTATTATTTAATTATTGCTTATAGCCTTTGCCTATATTCCTACTGAGTTATGGGTTTGGTTTTTTTTTTTATGTTTTACTTGTTGAGCTCTTTATTTAGTGTAGCATTAAACCCTGGACTATAATGTAAATTTAAAATGCTATCTTGGCCAGTGCTGTGGTGCAGTAAGTTAATCCTCCTCCTGCAGTGCCACCATCCCATATGGGCTCCAGTTCTAGTCCTGGCTGCTCCTCTTCTGATCCAGCTCTCTGCTATGGCCCGAGAAAGCAGTAGAATACGGCCCAAGTGCTTGGGACCCTGCACCCATGTGGGAGATCTAGAAGAAGCTCTAGGCTCCTGGCTTTGGATTGGCTCATCTAAGGCCATTGCAGCCATTTGGAGAGTGAATCAGTGGATGGAAGACCTTTCTCTCTGTCTCTCCCTCTCTCTTAACTCTGCCTTTCAAATAAATAATCAATAAAATATTTTTTTTATTTTTTTCTTTTTTCTTTTTTTTGGTAATTTTATTTTATTTTATATTTTTTAACTTTTATTTAATGAATATAAATTTCCAAAGTACAGAATATTGATTACAATGGCTTCCCCCCCATAACGTCCCTCCAACCCGCAACCCTCCCCTTATCCACTCCCTCTCCCCTTCCATTCATATCAAGATTCATTTTTGATTCTCTTTATATACAGAAGATCAGTTTAGCATACATTAAGTAAAGATTTTTTTTTTTTTTTGACAGGCAGAGTGGACAGTGAGAGAGAGAGACAGAGAGAGAAAGGTCTTCCTTTTGCCGTTGGTTCACCCTCCAATGGCCGCCGCTGCAGCCGGCGCACCGCGCTGATCCTGGCAGGAGCCAGGAGCCAGGTGCTTTTCCTGGTCTCCCATGGGGTGCAGGGCCCAAGCACCTGGGCCATCCTCCACTGCACTCCCTGGCCATAGCAGAGAGCTGGCCTGGAAGAGGGGCAACTGGGACAGAATCCGGCACCCCAACCGGGACTAGAACCCGGTGTGCCGGCGCCGCAAGGTGGAGGATTAGCCTATTGAGCCACGGCGCCGGCTTAAGTAAAGATTTCAACAGTTTGCTCCCACACAGAAACATAAAGTGAAAAATACTGTTTGAGTACTAGTTATAGCATTAAATCTCAATGTACAGCACACTAAGGACAAAGATCCTACATGAGGAGTAAGTGCACAGTGACTCCTGTTGTTGACTTAACAAATTGACACTCTTGTTTATGGCATCAGTAATCACCCTAGGCTCTTGTCATGAGCTGCCAAGGCTATGGAATCCCCCTGAGTTCACTGATTCTGATCATTTTTAGACAAGGCCATGGTCAAAGTGGAAGTTCTCTCCTCCCTTCAGAGAAAGGTACCTCCTTCTTTGAAGACCCATTCTTTCCACTGGGATCTCACTCGTGGAGATCTTTCATTTAGGTTTTTTTTTTTTTTCCCCCAGAGTGTCTTGGCTTTCCATGCCTGAAATACTCTCATGGGCTTTTCACCCGGATCCGCATGCCTTAAGGGCTGATTATGAGGCCAGAGTGCTGTTAGGACATTTGCCATTCTATGGGTCTGATGTGTATCTCACTTCCCATGTTGGACCATTCTCTCCCTTTTTTATTCTATCAGCTAGTATTTTCAGACACTATTCTTGTTTATGTGATCCCTTTGGTTCTTAGTCCTATCATTACGATCAGTTGTGAACAGAAATTGATCACTGGGACTAGTGAGATGGCATTAGTACATGCCACCTTGATGGGATTGAATTCGAATCCCCTGGTATGTTTCTAACTCTACTGTTTGAGGTAAGTCAGCTTGAGCATGTTCCGAATTGCACATCTCTTCCCTCTCTTATTCCCACTCTTATATTTAACAGTGCAAATAATCAATAAAATATTTTAAAAGTGCTATTTCAAAAATTAAGGAAAAAAGAAAGAAGCATTTTTATATTCTTAGAATTGCATTTATGAGCTACATTGAATCTGTTCTTCGTATTAATATCAGATTAACATAAGAATTAATGAGAAAAATTTTTTAAAAATTTATCTAAAAGAAAAATGTGAATTCCCTGCCAATGTTTTCTTTATTTTACTGAATGTGTATTTTAAGCTTATAATATTGACATTCTGCTCAGAAATCATGCTACAGTTTTGAGATTTTGTCAGTACATGTTTGGTCCACAGTTAGGGAGATTGATTTAAATGGGCATCTTCCTTATCCCTTTCCTCAACAGGCTACACACTTCCTCTGCCATTATTGGTATAATTAACCACATTTTTATCTTCAAATTTGGTAAAGATCTAATTATTTTTTTACAGGTAATTAGCTCTGACAAGTTAAGACCTTTTGCCTCCTCTTTCTCATGTTCCTCCCAGCTAAAGAGTCCTGGCAGATTTTGTTGTTGTTTGTTTGTTTATTTGCTTTTTATTTACTCTGAATTAGCATGGAATTGTGAAGGGAAAATGCATTTTTCATTTCAATGCACTTCCCTCTAGATTAAGAGGTATGACACTTTTCTTTATTTTTTATTTTTGTTATTATAATTTTTTTTTCTGACAGGCAGAGTGGACAGTGAAAGAGAGAGACAGAGAGAAAGGTCTTCCTTTTGCCGTTGGTTCACCCTCCAATGGCCACCGCGGCTGGTGCGCTGCAGCCGGCGCACCGCGCTGATCTGATGGCAGGAGCCAGGTGCTTCTCCTGGTCTCCCATGGGGTGCAGGGCCCAAGCACTTGGGCCATCCTCCACTGCACTCCCTGGCCACAGCAGAGAGCTGGCCTGGAAGAGGGGCAACCGGGACAGAATCCGGTGCCCCGACCGGGACTAGAACCCGGTGTGCCGGCGCTGCAAGGCGGAGGATTAGCCTAGTGAGCCGTGGCGCCCGGTGGTATGACACTTTTCAAAGTGTATTCAGAGGAATGACACTTTTCAAAATTTGTTCAGTCAATACCAGCTTCAGTCCCTTCACTGGACAACTCTTCAGGGAATATGTATAGAAGTTATGTGCCAGTATCTTAAATTCTTTAGCTCTTGAACCTTGGACACCACTTTCCATAGTACCCAGTAGGAGAGCATGATCCATTCTTTCTCAGTATTACTGATGAGGCTTTTTGTTTTAAAAACTCATTTTTGTTCTCATCATTTGTTTTCTGAAGGTGAAGTTTTGTGATCTGGCTTTACCATGTTAGAGATGTTATAGATTGGACATTTTAAAAGATCACTTGCATGTGTTAATGGATGGATACAATCAAGGGAACCAAGTGTGAATGCATGGAAGGAAGAAGGATAGAGAATAGATTGGAAGAAAACAAAATAGGATGAAGAAGCCAAGTTAGGAGATTTGTTCTGGTCATCCTGTTGAGAGACAGTGATGACATATACTAGAGTGGTAAAATATATGGAGAGGATTGGATATAATTGAAGTTATATTTTAAGAGTAAAGCTGATTGATCTTGGCGAATTAGAGTGAGAGAGAGTGAAGGAGAGATATCAGGATGAAGCTAGCTTGTAGGTTTGGGGCATGAACAATTGAATGGTTGGAACTTCCATTCAGAGATAAGGGGTACAGGGACTAGAGGCAGATTTGGATGTATTAGAAAACAAAGTACAAGTTTGAGAAGGCAGTTTGATATCCAAGTGGAGCTGAGAAGTCACATCACAATTGCGAGATAATTTTGGAATCATAAAAAGATAGCTGTTATTTAATGTTAAACAAGTAAACTGGGAATAACTTGGAATGGTTTGTTCTCAAACCTAGTAACATTAAGTGAAAGGTTAGATAATAGCCTTATTTCTTCCTCTCAAGGGTGTCTCACTCCACCTTTTTGAAACTAGCTTCAGGAGACAACATGCCATAGGGGCATGATGATGACATAATAGAGTCATTCTTTGCCAACTGCTGACTCAACCATAAGATTCTGACATAGAGCTTTGTTGCCAGGTTACCTCTCAAACACTGAAGACAGAGCTCTCATCCCCAGATCAGGGCAGCCTATGCCAGAGGCACAGCCTGTTGCTGGTGAAGCTCAGAAATTGACGAAGACCAGAGTGTCTAAGAAAAAGGTGCAGATGCTTAAAAGAGGGTAAGAAAACAATGCCTCTTAACGTTTTTGATGAACTGATATATATCTGAAATGTCATTAAATGAGGAGAAGGATAAAGGGTGCCCGAAACAACTTGCGATACCCCCCAAAATTCAAGATGAGATAGTTCAAGTAATCCAGACATCTTTAAGTAATATAGCCATACAAATAAATAATCTAGATAAATATGCTGAAGACCTGCTTAGAGGAATATCCAAAGAGGTTGACTGGTTCTTTTACAGAATTCAGGTTTTACAAGAGCGTATAATCTACTTAACTGATGGTATTACTTACAAGAATCAAAATCCACGATTGTTCTTGCCAGCTAGGAAATCAAAAAAGACTTCTCAAAGTACAGCTATTCAAAAACAGCAGGTACATTCCTCCGAGCCATTACTTGTTAAAATGTATGAAACGCATGATGCTTGCGTACAGACATTACCTCTCCACATTCCTACTGCTTATTGCCAAGATGATACAGAAGGTTTACAGATTTCTCCTGGGACTTCCTGTTTCTTTCAACTTTGTAAGGAAAAGAATATATGTAAAAGTAGAGAACTAAAGGGGAGAAAGCTCGAGCAAACTGCTAAGCACCTGGATCATTTCAATGAACCAAAAAGTGTGCTTCAAAGTCAAAGGATGCAACATAATGCTTCAGTAGAACATACCCAAGCTATTTGTGGAGCGATCACTAATTCATATGCCAATCAACCCGTTCAACGTTCCTCATTGTCCAATTACCAAGTTAATGAAATCAGTAAGCTTCTAACAAGAACTGTAGGGAAGATGTTATCCAAGCCTTTGCAGAAAACAATGGATGGATCTAAGGACCTGAAACAATCATGTGCCAATTATGGAACTGAGATGGGAGAAGAGTTGCAACCTCAACCTCGAATTCAACTTAAAACAGATGTGTTTGTGAGCCCCATGGCACCAACTTCTCCACCTCCATTACCACCAGATTGGTTAGCTGTTTTAAGAGCTTCAAAGATGGCAAGTCCTCATCCAATCATACATTACCCAACTCAGCTTCCATCACCGATTTTGAAAACCCCACCAACAACAGCACATCCTGATTGTCTACAGACTACTTCTGAGGCACCTCTTCCAATTACTCCACCTAAACTAGTTGTCTCTCCACCAGTAACTGAACTTTTTCAGCATTACAAACTGATTGCAAATGATCTACTCCCAAAAAGAGAAGAAAAGGTTATGTCTCCACCTATATCTCCTTGTCCAGTATTCTCACATAGAAGTGAAACAAAGAACACAGTCACAGATCAAGCTAGCCGTGCTTCTGTTGGACAGCCACCAGCTTCGTCGGTTTGTCCATCTGTAAGGTCTGCATCTACAAAATCACCAAGACCTTTAGTTGCAGAATCAGCAAGATCTACACTTACACCACCATCAAGATATCTGATTTCAGCAACGAGATCTTCAATTACACCATTATCAAGACTTTCAACTCCACAAAAATCAAAAATTTCAGTTCCACTGTCATTTTCCCGTCCACAACCATCAAGATCTTCAGTTCCAGTACCAAGACGTTCACTTTCCCAGCCACCAAGAAGTTCAGCTCCTCTGCTGTCAAGATGTGCAGATGCACAATCAAGAAAATCTCCAGTTGCTCAATCAGGAAGGCCTTCAGCTGCACAACCAGCAATGCATTTGATTTCACCACAATCAACATCTTCAAATTTGACGTCTCCAACCCTACAGCCATTATTTTCTTTTGTACAGTCACCATCAACTTGCGTTCCATGCTCCCAGGCTTCAAACCCCCAGGCACTATCAGTGTCCCAATCTTACAATGCACCACTTAGTCCTGATTTTAAATTATCTCCATCAACTCCACCCATATACAACAAAGCAAGGAGTGTCCTAATGGAAGCAATAAGAAAAGGTGTCCTGCTACGTGAAATTGAAGATCCATGTGTACTGAAAGCCAAAATAGAAATTGCTAAAAATGAACCACCTTCTATCCAGATACAACGTAAACCTGCGGGATGCACTTCAGCTAAATTGGGGGAATAAGGCTGATTAGATGGAGAGAAAAAAATAAATTCAAATAAATTAAATAATTCTCAATTGCTTTATTCTGATAAATAAGTCATTACTAATTTTTTTACAGTAAACCAATATCTTCCTTTATTCCACCCCCCTCAAAATACGAAATACTTGCATTTTAGAATTTTCTCAAGGAACATAAATTATTCAAATAAGCCAAAACTTCTAAGTATTATGCACAGACAACTCCTAAAGTAGATTTTTAAAGATAGCTAGTGTTGAAATTCTGAAATTATCCAGTTGTTTTATTCCATTTCAAGTAAAATTTAATGCAGGCATTCAAAATTCCTGCCATTAGTGTGAATAGTGCTTGAATAAATATGATAGATTGGATATCCTTTAATATAATTACATCATGTCTTTTGGATTATATCCCATAGTTGGATTGCTGGATCATATGGCAGTTCTATTTCTAGTTTTTTAAAAATATTTTATCTGTTTTGTTTGAGAGGTAGAAAGAGAGAGAGAGAGAGAGAGAGAGAGAGAGAGAGAGACTTCCATCTGTTGGTTCACTCTCCAAAAGCCTCAACAACCCAAGCTGAGTCAATCCATAGCCAGGAGCCAGGAGCTTCTTCTGGGTCTCTCATGCTGGTGCAAGGGCTCAAGCACTTGAGCCATCTTCACTGCTTTCCCAGGCCATAAGCAGAAACTGGATTGGAAGAGGAGCAACCAGGACATGAACCGGTGCCCATATGGGATGATGGCGCCACAGGCAGAGGCTTAGCCTACTACACCACAGTGCCAGCCCCCTATTTTTACTTTTTAAAGAAATCTTTATGGTTTCTGCACTGGCTGTACAAATTTACATTCTCACCAACAGTACATGAGAGTTCCCCTTTCTTCACATTCTTGGCAGCATTTGTTATTTTCTGTCTTTTTGATAATAATAAACATTCTAATAGGGATAAGGTGATATCTCACTGTGGTTTTGATTTGCATTTCCCTGATGAGCACTTTTTCATCTATCTATTAGCCATTTGTATTATTTTTGACAACTGTCTACTGATACAAATATACTAATAAAATATGTTAATAATAGAGGAAACTGGGTGTGAGGTATATGAAACTTCTTTGTAGTATTTCACAATTTTTGTCTTGTAAATTTAAAATTATTCTGAGATAAAAAGGTAAAAAAAATCCTACCATAATTTTGAGGGACAGGAAGTCTTTTTTAAGGAATTAATTAATTTTATTTGGCAAATAAAAATTGTGTATATTATGTGCAACATGATATATTGAAATGTTTACATTGTTCAATGGCCAAATTGAACAAATAAATGTGTATTACACATATTTATGGTGAGGTAAGAACAAGTTCAATTTACTTTCTTAGCAATTTTTCATGCAATACATGATTATTAAATATAATGACCATGTTGTACAACAGATTTCTTTTTTTAAAAAGATTTATTTATTTGAAAGGCAGAGTTACAAAAAGAGAGAGAAGGGGAGAAAGAGAGGTCTTTCATCTACTGGTTCACTCCTGGAATGACCATAATGGCCAAAGCTGGGCAGATCCAAAGCCAGGAGCCAGGAGCTTCATCCAGGTCTCCCAAGTGGGTGCAGGGGCCCAAGGACATGGGCCATCCTCTGATGCTTTCCCAGCCACATTGGCAGGAAGCTGCATCAGAAGTGGGACAGCTGGGACTCAAACTGGCGCCCATGTGGGATGCTGGCACTGCAGATGGTGGCTTAACCTGCTTTGCCACAGCATTGGCCCTGCAATAGCTCTCTTGACTTATTTTTCCCATACAACCAAAATTGTATATTATTGAACTAACATTTCAATACCCTCCTCCAGCTCCTGGTAGCCACCATTTTACTCTTTGATTCTATGATTCTATGAGTTTAACCTTTTAAAATTCACATATATGAGTGAGATCATGCTGTATTGTTTAACCTGTGCCTGGCTTATTTCACTTAAAGTTATCCATATTCAACTATGTTGTCACAAATAACATGACTTTCTTCTGTTTTAAAGGTTGAGTAGCATTCCATACCACATTTTTATCCATAAATGCATGCACATTCACTCTGTATCTTGACTGTTGTGAGGAATGCTGCAATGAGCATGAGACTGTACATATCTCTTTGACTATGGCATGTTGATTTCATTTTCCTTGGATACATACCCAGTAGTGGATAACCTACATAATATAGTAACCCTATCTTTAATTTTTGAAGGATCCTCCATACTGTTTCCCATAATGCCTATATTGATATATACAACCACCAACAATATACAAGAGCGCCCTGTTCACAACATCTTGCTGATACTTATTTTTGCTTTATTTAATAGAAACCATTCTAACAGGCATGAAGTGATATTTCACGGAGGGCTTTGGTTGCCACTTTCCTGATAATTAGTGATGTTCAGCATTTTTTCATATGTCTGTTGACCATTTCCATGCCTTCTTTTGAGATATGTCTAATAAGTTACTTTGCCCATTTTTAAAGATCAGGTGACTCATCTTTTTACTATTGAGTTCTTAAAGTCTTCTATACATTTTGGCTATCAACCCTTTATGAGAAACATGGCTTGCAATTATTTTTACATTCTGTTGATTGTCTGTTTACTTTGTTGATAGTATCCTTCATTGTGTAGAAGCAATTTAGTTTTAAATAATCCCATTTGTCTATTTTTGCTTTTGTTGCCTATCTGTTTTGAACTTCATATACAAAGATCATTGCCAAAAATAATGCCATGAGGATTTCCTCGCTATATTTTCTCTGAGTAATTTTACATTTTCAGGACTTAACAATTAAATTTCTAATCCAGTTTGGGTTGATTTTTGTATATGGATGGGATAGGGATTTATATTCATTCTTACCCATCTGGAGATCTTTTTCTCAACATCATTTATGGAAGAGACTATACTTTCTTCATTGTTTACACACTATTTACACACTGTTTCAACAGATTGTGTCAACTGTTTCAAATGTCCCACTGTTCAAAACACTGTAACACACGTTTCAACAATCTGTTCACCATAAATTTGTGGATCTACTTCTGGATTTCTTTTCTATTAGTCTATCCATTTGTTTTATGCCAGTTCCACACCAGAGCTTTATAGTGTATTTTCAAAGCCAAGTTTTGTGATGGCTCAAGTTTTATAATTTTTGTGCAAAATTATGTTGTATGTGCTAAACTCCAGGGTGCTTACATTGTCATCCTAAACCTTCACAATGTGTTTCTTTTTAAAAAAAATGATGACATCACTTTTTTAATTTTTACTTTTTTTGAAAGATTTATTTATTTGAGTCAGAGTTACACAGAGAGGTAGAGGCAGAGAGAGAGAGAGAGAGAGAGAGAGACAGAGAGAGATCTTCCATCCACTGGTGCACTCCCTAGATGGCCAGAATGACTGGAGCTATGCCAATCTGAAGCCAGGAGCCAGGAATTTCCTTTGGGTCACCCACGTGGGTGCAGAAGCCCAAGCACTTGGGCCACCTTCCACTGCTTTCCCAGGACATAGCAGAAAGCTGGATCGGAAGTGGAGCAGCCGGGACTCAAACTGGCACCCATATGGGATGCTGGCACTGTAGGCGGCGGCTTTACCAGCTACACCACAGCGCCGGCCCCCACAATGTGCTTCTGACCCATAACTCTCGCACCATTCCCCTTCTTACTCCTTTCAAGACAGTAAGATTGTTATACTCCTTAAATTTTACTCATATGATTGCTAATGCTTGTCTATTCTTTCTACTTATTTTTACCTCTCCAATAGTACATAAGTTCAACCTCTTCTACAAAAGTTTCATGAATTGCTCCATCCTCAAATGAGCTACCCCCACTCTGAATATCTATAGAACTTTCTAAATTCCTTACTTAATGTTTAGATGGCAAAAAAATATTTAGATGGCTATGTATAATATCTTATACATACATAGCCTAATATAAGGTGGTTATGTATAATTTTTTCATGTTTTACCTCCCATCTGTAATATAAAATCCTTGAAAATATAAATTGAAGTTTGTTCATACCAGCAGCCTTCACATTACATCCTTAATTAAATGTATTAAGCACCTTAAACACATTATCCTTAATAGAAATTTGTTAAATTGTTATTAATAGATTAAATATAAATATAATGATATAGAGATATCTCCACTGAGAACATGGTTTTTCATGAAGTGTTCAAATCAAATTAACTATACTTATTGAAAAGCTAAGAGTTAAACTTCTGTCATGGCAACATGAGGAACTCCATTGTCTGTTCATGAGTAAAATTACAGATGATTATAAAAATGTTGAGCCCCTAGAAATGATCATAAAAGAAAAAGCATAAAGAAAACAAATAAACATTTTTTCAAGTAAACATATTAAAATTCAGTAAGAACAGCAAGACTGTAGCATTCTAACCGAGTTTTGCTCCTTCACCAGTCCAGTCCACTGTGATGGAAACCACATGCCAGAAGGGTATGTACAAGACCACAAAGCCTGGGTCTGGTGTGCTGGTGTGCTTGGGTCTGGTAAAGCCTCTGCCTGTGACACCGTCATCCTATCAGGGTGCCGGTTTGTATCCAGGCTGCTCCACTTACAATCTAGCTCCCTGCCAATGACCTGGGAAAAGCAGCAAAACATGATCCAAATGTTTGGGCCTCTGCACTGACATTGGGAACTCGGATGAAGCTCCAGCCTCCTGGCTTTGGCCTGGCCCAGTGCTGGCCATGGTGGCCATCTGGGAAATACACCAGAGGATGGAAGATTTCTCTCTCCCTCTCTCTCTTTCTCTCTCTCTCTCTCTCTCTCTCTCTCTGTCTTGTGTGTCTCTTTCTCTCTCTCCATAACTCTGGCTTTCAAAATAAAATAAAAAAAAATAAAAAAGAACACAGAGCTCGGGAGAAGCTTTGTGGTATATCAGGCTAAGCTGCTGACTGCATCACTGGCATCCCATATTAGCACTGGTTGGAGCTCCAGCTGTTTTACTTCTGATCCAGCTCACTGCTAATGCACATGGTAAATCAGGGGAAGATAGTCCAAGC